CAATGCATGGTCTATCTTTCACCGGATCGCATAGTCAGCCTCAGGGCTCTTGTCCAACGGGTTCAAAGCACCAGGTCAGTCTCACTCCTCACCCTTTCCCAGCTCTTAGGCAAGATGATCTCTTGTCTCGCCATAGTGCCTTGGTCCAGACTTCATTCAAGAGCCCTGCAATGGTTCCTCCTCCCGTTTCAGAGGAAGAAGTTAACATCCTCCAGCAGACTGGTGCGGTTGACTCCCCTAGTAACACGTTCTCTCCTGTGGTGGCGTTCTCGAGCAATCAACAAAGGCTCGAAATTCAGGGATCAGTCACGGATAGTTCTCACCACGGACGCCAGTCTCTTTGGCTGGGGGGGCTCACCTCCAGTCTCAGATGGCCCAGGGGAGATGGTCAAAGGTGGATCTGGCACACAACATAAATTGGCTGGAGCTCCGGGCTATTCATCTGGCGTTGCGTCACTTCAAGCACAAGGTGAGAGGCCAACACATACTTGTCCTCACGGACAACATTGCGGCCAAGGCCCATGTGAACCGCCAAGGGGGCACCCGCTCAAGTGCTCTGATGACAGAGGCCACGCTGCTCTGTTCTTGGGCAGAAGCCAATCTGTTATCGATAAGGGCGGATCACATTTCGGGGGAGATCAATCAACAGGCAGACGCTCTCAGTAGAGCGACGGTGGATCATTCAGAATGGCGTCTGGATCCAGGCCTGTTCCTAGCCATATCTCACAGAGTGGGACACCCAGTCCTCGACTTGTTTGCCTCGGACAAGAACTCCCAACTTCCAAGGTTTTTCTCCCGCTTTCAGTCTCCAGGGGCGGAGGGAGTGGATGCCTTACGCATCCAGGGGCCTTCTTTACGCTTTTCCTCCGCTTCCTATTCTTCCAGCGGTCATCCGCAAGATTCTACGGGAGAAGGCGGAGGTCGTTCTCATAGCCCCTCATTGGCCGAGACGCCCGTGGTTTGCAGATCTCATGGGCCTATCTGTAGCCACCCCGTGGCGGATACCTCCAGATCGGATAGCGCTCACTCAGGGGGCGCT